TTCTTTTTTTTTGCTGTTGCTGCCGGGGGGGTATTTGTTTTTGTTTTGCTGTTTGGGCCCCCACCGGCAGTTCACTCACTTGCTGGTTCGCCGGGGCTTGCACAACAACAAAACAGCAGCAACAGCAAAAAACACCCGTTCCGGGGATATGATACTCTTATGTTGTATAAGGGCCATAATCAAGGACAGATAGTCTGATTTATGCAAGCTCCTACATCACTATCCCTAAACCCTAAACCCTACAGCCCCAACCTATGGGAACACTTTAGGGGTCAGGGCTTGGTCTAGAACTTAGGGCTTAGGGTTTAGGAGTCTTGCGGTTAGTGTTTGGCAGGATACAGTTTAGGGCTCCGGCCAACTGTTTAGGAGTCAGGGTATTAAGGATTGTGGTTTAGGGTTTAGGTTCAGGATTTGGCGTCTACAGGGGTTTGGGTTTAGGGTTTACCCGTTTGGGGCTTATGGGTCTAGAGCTCCTGCTCTTCGTAATCAACAGCGGCCGGGGTTCGGGGTTGAGGAATGGCTCGAAGTGTCGGGGTAATGAAAGTCTTTCAATTTGAAGATGCATGGCTCATCAGTCTCATACCTTGAACTTGGATTGCTTAGAAAACTACTTCTGACCTTAAACCCTTCACCCTAAACCGTATATTTAGGGGTTTAGGAATTAGGGTTTAGGGTTTAAGAATTGGGGTTTAGGGTTTAGGAACTAGGGTTTAGAGTTTAATTAGGGTTTAGGGTTAAGGAATTAGGGTTTACGGTTTTCGGAATTAGGGTTTAGGAACTAGGGTTTAGGGTTTAGGAACTAGGGTTTAGGGGAATTGGGGTTTCCATTGCTTCGAGCAATCCTTGCAAAGGCCACTGTACGTGGAGCTTAAACAGGTGCCGCAACCTAAACCCTAAACCCTAAACCCTAAACCCCTAAACCCTTAGCCCTAAAGGGACCAGGGAGCCTCCTCGCATAGTGGGAGGGGCTCTCCCCTCGCGCATCACCGAGCGGCGCCAGTTTCTGGCACCCTTTTAGGGTTTAGGGGTTTAGGGTTTGGGGTTTAGGGTTTAGGGTTTAGGGTTTCTGCTGTACTACAGCGCGTGCGTCCACGTTCATTAAGGCGCTCACCATGGACCTGGTAGCGTAGGCGCAACAAGGCCAACAAAGGCCGTCCTCAGAGCGCACTTCCTTCGTACACCAGGCCGCCTTGCATGGCGTGAATCCATAAGGCAGCAAGCCCTGCCGGCTCGGCACGGTCGTTGGCGGCTATACGCCACCCATTCGGAATCCCCATGAAATGGCATCGCTCACCTCCGCCATGCACTCCAATTTGGATGGCCTGGCTCCTCCATGGGATTGCCCATGCCATTCGCATCAGATGCCCCAGGGTTTAGGGTTTAGGAATTAGGGTTGAGGGTTCCTACCACGGTTCCTTTCAGGGTTCTATAAAGGTCACTCTACGCCTCCCGTAATAAGGGTTCTTTTTCTTTAGGAACTCTAGGGTTAGGGGTCCATGAACCTCTGCAGTATGTACTCAGGCCTTGGAGTACCTGTACAGGAATCCCCTGCAAGGTCGAAGTATATACTAATTATATATATATATATATATTTATCTATTTATTTATATACACAGAAAATAAGACATTACATCTATACATAATATAGGTACATGGAGCCAAAGGCAACGGCATGACCTGGGAGGTACCTCATTTTGGCCCTTTCAACGTGGCGGCTCCTCACTGGTGTGGCGTTGATCTTCAGTGGTAAGGGTTCAGGGTTTAGGGTTTAGGGTTTAGGGTTCAGGGTTTAGGGTTTAGGGTTCAGGGCTTACGGTCTCAGGCATCTAAACCCCCGAGCTAAGCCCGAGCGTAGACGGCCTGTAAAAGCATCAACGGTTGATGTGCAATGTTACAGATTCAGAAAGTATGGGTGCACTCGCAGAGCCGTAAATCCTAACCCCAATTACTCTCTTCTTCAACAACCAGGCCCAAAAAAGTTCAAACTTTTTAGGATAGACCAAATATATAAAGCCAAAAAATTTAAAGTTTTCCTATTGGCTAGCTAAGATTACGGGCAAGTTCTGAGCCCCAATCTGTCAATTTTTAAAACCCCACACGGCCTAAATCCTAAAGCTCACCTTAACCTACCAAAACCTATGTTTTTGTAGGGTCCCTATAAATTCCATATTAGGGTTTATAATAAGAACCTACAAAAAGTAGGTTTTGGTAGGTTCAGGCAATCATCATGAACCCCAAAACCGTGAATCCGAAAACCTGGGCTATCGTTACCCCTAACCCCCGAGCCCAAATCCCAAATCGGAAGCTCAAAATGCCATACAAAACCGTGTAACACCCAGTAGAAACCCGACCGTCCACCCTATACCCAAAACCCTAAACCTAGAGCGGACAAATGAAACCCTACACGGAGGAACGACACAACAAGCACGCAAGACCAAAACAAGAAACACACCCCCAAAGCCGCACCAAGCACTAAAGCTAAAACCCCACAGAGCCAACCCAAGATCCCTATTCCCCAACACTTTAAACCCTCACACCCCAAACCCTAAGCCCGAGCATCTCTAACCCCAAATCTATCGCCAAGCCCCAGATCCAAAACCCTAAACCCTCAATCCCAAGGCCCTGCAACCCTAGAGCTCGTAAGCCCTAAACCCTAAACCCGAAAGCTCGCCCCAAACCCCCAAAAAATCTCTAAAGCCCAAGCCCTAAACCGGACCTGAACCTTAAGTCCCAGAAACCCTAACACCTATAGAGATCAGGGTTTAGGGATTTAGGGGTTCAGGGTTTAGGAAGCCCTAAACCCGAAAATCTCCAGCAAACCCCAACGCTAACGCTTTGAGAAGCGCCTGGGGAGCGAGACGCCGAGCCCCAGAAGTCCGCAGGCTGGTAGGGGCCAGCCGGATGCATCGGCGGGCCTCCTGGGTTCAGGGTTTAGGGCTTAGGGTTTAGGGTTTAGGGTTTAGGGTCGGGGGAGTGGTTAGGGGTTTAGGGTTTAGGGCTTAGAATACTGCATCTGCTATATGTCAGGCCATTTGGGAATGTGAAGCATCATTAGTTACTGGGAGGGTCGGGGAATTAGTAAGTAGGTAATAAGTAGACTGTAGACTTATACTTACCCTAAACGGGACTCTAATTGGGGTTAAGATACCTATACGTCTAGAAAATAACGGCTTACTAAGTCCCCCGACCCTCCAAGTAGAGGCCTTTTCCTAAATCACAGTAATATAGGGGCCAGAATAACTAGAATAGCGTTTTGGGGTCCTAAGAAGGATCCTAGAGACGGCTCTACCAGGTTGCTACACAGCGTGTTGCGTTAGCTTTTGTTTTCTGGAAGGGCCTTAATAGTGACTGCAATGTGGGCTGGCTTCTGTCCAGTTCTACACCCTAAACGCTAAACCCAAACCCGTGTCTACACTGGCTTGTCACGCGTTGCACCCTGCCGTACAGGTTGTATGAGGCCCTGGGTTTCGATAAACAGAATTCCACTCCTAAACCCTAAACGTTTAGGGTTAAGGGTTTAGGGT